GCGCCCGGCCACCTCCCAGGACCCGGCCACCTCCCAGCGCCCAGCTATCTCCCAGCGCCCGGCCACCTCCCAGTGCTCGAGGGGCAGCTGTGTTCACGTCACATCACACACTCTGCAATAAGCATCTTTGGGTGGTTTTGTTTCCTTCTGTTGAATTAGTGCCTTAGGATGCACTCCAAGAATGGGATTACCTCCAAATCCTCCAACCAATTTAAAATGCAAGCATTTGTTTTACCAGAATCCTGTTACCATGCAATGCTTTTTGGTTACCCCTCTGCCCCAACTTAGTCAGCAACAAGCAGGTGGAGACCAGAGGCCAGAAAGTGCCAGGCAACAGGGCTGGAAGTTGCCTGAAATCCATGCCATTCAATGTGCTTGACAATTCACTTGGGGCTGAACTCGTATTCTCTTGTGGCCACAGGAAAGCGGGGGAAGGACCCGAAGTAAAGGCAGAAACAAGCGCAGCGGAGTGTAAGGCTGGGCTCCGCACGGCCTGGAGCCCGGCATTCCTGGCTCAACATCTCAATACAGTTCATTGATTCTGCTCCCTGGTGACACTAAGAAATGATCAGCATATCACTGGTGAAAGGGGTGGAGAAGGAGTAAGTGGAACATTCTACACACATACACCTAAAAAACCTGAAAAAGAAAGTTTTCACAGAATATAAGGACAAAAAGTCTCCTGCCTAAACTACTTAAGGGAGAAATAAAACCAATTCGACACAATCTCTTCCGGGAAACAGAAGAGGACGGAACACTCCCTAATGCATTCTGTGAAGCCAGCATTACCCTAATACCAAAACCAGACAAAGACTTTACCACAAAACTACAGATCAACTTCCCACATTAATGCCGACACAAAAATCCCCAATAAAAGAAATATTAGCAGATTGAATCATGGTCAGTCGAGGCTGGTTCAGCATCCAGGAGTCAATTAGCATGATTCATACCAACAGGCTAAATAAGGAAAGCATACGCTCCTATCAACAGATGCAGAAAAGCATTACACAGACTTTAATAACCATTAATGAAAAAGCTCTAAAATCTCTAGAAATAGAAGGGAATTTACTTTACATAATACAGAACAGACACCAAAACCCACAAGTGGACGTCATACTTAGTGGTGAGGAACGGAAAACTTTCCTCTAAGGTCAGGAGAAGGGACAGGCAGGCGGTCCTCTCCCCTCTCCTACTCGACCCTGTGCTGAGCGTCCTTGCCGGTGCCACGCGGCTGGAGAGACCCTGAAGGCACACAGGCTGGCAAGGAAGAACCGAATGTCTTCACGTGCTGACGCATGACTGTCTATGGGCAGCACGGCCCCGGTGGGCACGCGCTCGCCAGAACGCATCAGCCCTGGAAGGACACGCGCTCGGCCCTTCGCAGTCCCAGCAGTGATGCCGCGAGCCTGCCTCACCTGTGTCACGCGATGGGCTGAAACTCCTCCGTGTTACACCGGTCGAAGGGGAATGCTTGCTAACTTTTGGGGAACAGAGTAGTGCTTTCACTTTTAAAAAATCTCATCCTTACTCATATGCTACACCCAGAAACCTGTATTTAGCTGCATGTACACATATAAGTGAGCACTTTTCTGACTCAAAAGCTTGGGATGGGTATTGCTGTCCATTCTGATGGGATGCATTTTAAAAGTGTCAGGAGTAATTATATTATTTTCCAATCCACATCAAGATAGTGAATAAAAAATTAATAACATAGGAAGTTTCTATTCTGTTGATGACAGGAACTGGTGAAATTGCTCACAAACATCCCTAAATGCTTCTGAGATTACTCATGCTGTCAGCAGCTCCTCACAGGCCTCGGAAAATGGAATTTATGACTCTGACAATTAGGCCAACGCAATGACAGCCCTGGGGCTGTCAGTGTCAGCTGTGCCTCATGGCTTTGATTTTACTGCATCTCATGCATTGAAAGGTCGCTGGTTCAATTCCCAGTCAGGGCACATGCCCAGGTTGCCGGTTCAGTCCCTAGTCAGGCACGCACGTACGGGAGGCAACCAATTGATGTTTCTCTTTCTCGCTCCCTTCCTCTTTCTCTAAAAAACCAATACAAACATATTTACAAAAGGACTTAAAAAAGCCTCTCTAAATCATACGTGGTCTGACCAACTGGATAATTTTGTATTAGAGATCATGAGTAACACATCTTCAACAAATGTATTTCTATGTTCTGTAAGAAACTGTTAGTAGACGACATAAAGTTCTTCCTCACATAATTAGACTGAAATATAACAAGGATACAAAATAGGATACTTACCAGGCTGGGCTTAATGCCGACACTTTCGGCTGCTTCAAATGCCAACAAGAGATTCCTTTTCTAAGGTGAAAAGACAGAGAAACTGGAATTATCAACTAAAAACATACAGCTTTTGCTAAGACCACCATTGACACTCCCATATAAAAAACCCGTAAGTCACTTAAAAATTTAAGCCAAATATACAAACAATGGTCTCAGTATAAGAAAAAAATTGTCAGGTTATAAATGTCACTAAAAATGACATTACTGACTCCTGACTATCAGATACATTTTTATTAATTCTGTTATTTTTTACTTTGTCTAGATACAAGGCATATACTTCTGCTGTGTGTCAACAGTTGTTTGCTGAATCGTGGTGCTATATTAAAACTATCGAAGTCATGTGTACACACAGTTACATATAACCAAGTGGGAAAGCTGCTCTTCCCCCGTCCTGGGTCCCGGGTCCCGGGGAGAGCCTCTCTGATGCCTGTCCCTGGTTCTTCGGCGACACCTCCACAGCTCGGCGACACCCTCACACACTGTTCCTTGATTTCTAAAATAACACCTCCTCCCGGAATAAGTGAGGACTCAGGTGTCATGCACCTCTCTCTTTTGTTCCTTATAGCCACATGGCTACTTTTCATTCTTTTATGAGTTATGTTTGTGACTTTAAATAATACCCTTATATCTCCATTTCTTATTCCATCAATTATGGACAGCACTTCCTCACTCCACTGTATACAATGAGGAAGTTCCTTCATCTTGTCAGGTTTTACTTTTTAAATTATTGAAACTGATAACACTCAGTTCCTTTTTTATAACCACATTTAAGCCTTCTCTCCTCTCTTAATAGGATAATTCTAAAAACCAGAACCAACCAACAGCACTGACCAAGCAGTGCACCCCAACTGCACTTCCTTCTCGACAGTCCGTCATGGTGCCGTGTCACTAACGCATTTCCCACAAAGGGTTCTCCTGTGACCCAGCCCTGTCACCACCCTGTGAATCTTCAGGCTGGAGTCGTTCAGAACCCCATGCCACTTCCGCACAATCCCTGGCAAGGCGTACTCTGGCTTCCTTCTGAAGAAGGGAGTGGGACAGGCACCTTTTCTAGAAACATTCACGTAGGAACAGTTCTCTCTGTACCCTCACACGTGGTCAATAACGAGGGTGAAATAATTTTCCTGGAATTTTAAAGGTCCTGCTCCATAATAATTTCCCCCTAATTTGTTGCTTCTTTGTGAGATTCTTTCTGGTTGTTCCTGATGTTTCTTCATCTGGATACATTTAAGAATCACTGGGTCATGCGTCCCCCCTCCATCATTTATCTGAAAGTCATTAGGATTACATTTAATGACGTTAGTAAAGTAAGTGTAATCGGGAGGCAAGTGTTTCTGTACATATTCATGTTTTATGTTCCAGTAGCCTTTGCAATTTTACCCATTTAGACTTTGTACATGTTCCGTGCCCACGGCCTGCACCCGCTGCCCTGCCCGCACATCTGGTGCCTGGAGAGTGAGGCTCCAGCGCTGGGTGCCAGGCCCAGGGAGCCCGTTCCTCCCCCGCGGCCGGGGGTTTGCCAAGCTGGTCACCTGCAGTCGGCAGGCCCAAGCGCCAGCGCTCTTCCTCCAAATGAAGGGCAGTGAATGGGCATGAACCGGGCGCCTGCCACGTTTCCACACACGCTCCGAGCTGTGGAGAGAGGAGCAGCCAGTGGGCTCCTGGCTCGCTCTAACTCTGCCGGACTGCGGCTGCATTCTCCTGTTCGGGCGCTAATGAGGCCTTGGTCCTTACTTCTAAATTCCTTTTGGTTAGTTTTGGGGAGGAGAGGTTTTGTAAGCCAGATTTAGGCTACCACTAATGCAAACTGCTTTCTAAAATGTTACAGCAATTTCCAATTTCAGCAAAAATGTATGTGCCCACTTCCCCACATCCTCACCTGCCACTGTGACAGGCTAAAAAGAATATTTTATTGTTTTAACTTGCATTCTTTGATCACTAATAAGTCTAAGGAACAGGTGTTTCTAAGCCTGAGGTTTTATACGGGGTCCCCCAAGGCCCCTCTGCCAGGTTCTGATGGACCTGCTGTTGTTTTCTAAGCAGAGAGCAACGAGGAAGAGTGGTTAACGGGAAGCGCCGTCTCAGAACACCGGGGACTGTGCAGTGTGGCACGGAGCATTAGGGAGAGGGGTGACCACGTTACCCTAATTCTCTCCATCAGAGCACTGCCCCGGGCACTGCGGGAGGCCCCCAGGAGAGACCACTGCTGGGGGCACAGAGTATGCCCAGGCAGAAGCGGTGCCCACGGAGGCAGCACAGGGAGCACCGGGCCTGCGCCCACGGAGGCAGCGCAGGGAGCACCGGGCCTGCGCCCACAGAGGCCAGTGCAGGGCGAGAAGAAAGCGCCGCTTCATCAGTCCTGTCCGGGGGACAAGGGCAGGCCTGGAACCTTCCTGTTCTAGGATAGTGCACTCACCTGAAATGATGGGAGAAAGAGTCCCAAGTCCAGAATTTCTCCTCTTCTTACTATTTCATCTCAGACATAAACACACTTTATTCTATCACCTGAGTGTTCAAGTGGAGGTTTCGTCTGCTGACCAACAATATGCGTTTGATTGAAAAACGCCGCACCTTCCACGGCCTACAGCTCTCACCCTGTGACTGTCGACCTCTTCAGTGTGTGGAAGGGGTCCTTGCTAGTTTTACAAGAAATTCCTTCTCATGCACATCGTCTGGCTTGACTGTGTCCGTCGGGGAGGACCAGCTCGCGTTCTGACTTTCTGGGCTATCAATGGCTACACCACACAATTCCTAGGTTTGCCTTTAGTCGGGCGTTACAGCACAGGCCTCTCTTGATGCCCTTTCTGCCATGTTGCTACACCAACCCCCATCTAGGCAGCTACACTTCACTCATCTTAAGGTTGCAGGAGGCCCAGTTGGCGTAGCGCATTGGATGAGCATCAACCTATGAACCAGGACGTCACAGTTAGATTCCCGGTCAGGGCACATGCCCGGGTTGTGGGCTCAATCCCCGGTGGGGGGGAGGGGGGTTGCAGGAGCCAGCCCATCAATGATTCTCTCTCATCAATGATTCTCTCATCATTGATGTTTCTCTCCCTCTCCCTCTCTCTCTGAAATCAATACAAATATATTTTTAAAATGTCAGAGGGGTACATTTCATTCAAATTACCTTGTTCCCTTGGAAACCCAGCTTCAAATCTGCCTCCTTTAGGAAAAGTGTCCCTGGCCGCCCTTCCCCCCAGCCGGATCCCAGAGGCTCACCGTACTCAGTGCACACTGTGGGCTGGATTTGCTTGTTTACACATTATTCCCAGATGTTTTGAAAACATTTATGAGTAACTTTAATACGTTTACGGCAAGCTGGCCGTAAGCAGCCCTCAAGCATGCTCACGACAGCAGGCAGTGGGCAAGTGACCCCACCGGAGTGCAGGTGCGCGGGGCAGGCAGGAGGCAGGAAGCTGCCTTCCTCTGGGAGTGGGGGGTCACCAGGGAACAGCTGAGGCCTGGGAGGCCAATGCTGCTCTGACAGGAGGCTGGGAGCCACAGGCCCCACAAGGGCTCCAGCTGCCTGGAGCGACTCCTCCACCTCCGCACACCTGACAGCAGCGCGGACTCTGGGAGAGGAGGCTGTGCCGGGACCCTGCAGCCGAGCACTGGGCGGTCTGGGAGCCCCACCCCACCCGACCCGTAGGGGGGCGCTGGGGAGACCACACAACCCAGCGCCAGGAAGCGCCTCGTGCGCTCAGAGCACCACGTGCAGCACACACTCGGGCTCCTGGTTTCCCCACAGTCCTCACCGACTGGTGGCAAAGAGCCTGGGGGTGTGGCGCCTGGGACGAGCACCCACACTCTCAGGAAGGCACCGGTGGGTACAGTGTGGTAAGTGCCTAGGCTCACACTCACATCCTCTTAGCGAGGTCTCCCGATCGCTTTGGGTTGTGTTACGCCCATTGTTTACTCAGTTATCTTCGTGACGTCACACGGAAAAGGCAGAGCCTGAAAAATGAGGGGCAGGAGGGGGATGGCGCCGAGGTCGCTGTTGGACGGGGCTTTGCTGTGAGGGCTGCGACCGCCCCGCCTGGTGGTCCCCCCCTGCGCCCTGCAGACACCCTCGCTCACCCCTTCTACCCCGCAGGCTCCTGGATCTGCCCTCCTGCTGCTGACAGACGCTGGGCTTTAGAATCAGAAATGTTATCTGGTCCTCGTCCACAGGCCCCTAAACCCTTGTGATCTCTTATATTGGAGCCATAGGGGTGCCTAGAGCATGTTATAGTGTGTGTTTCGTCTCGGTTCCAAGGCTTCAGAGCGAGGAAGGTGAAAGGGTCTGAGAGCACGTGCGGAGGAGTCCCACGCCCGGTATTGGAATCCTGGTTTCTACTCCACCCCAGTGTGTTCCAGAGAAGCAGGGGGTGATGGGGCTTACCTTCTCCTGACTGCTCAGCTCCTGGTACGGGATGTGGGCAGGCAGGTAGGTGTGGAGGAGCGCGCAGAAGGCCAGGCCGTCGCTCCAGCTGCTGCTGAAGTTGGTGATGTCGATGTTCTGTGGGGAAAGCAGCGTTACTGTCAAACTGCATCACAGAATCTGAACGAGACTGTGCCAGGGTGGCAGCCGTCGCTGGGCTTGCTGTGGGCAAGACAAGACACGACGCAAGTCTGCCGGGAGTGCCTTTAACTTTGGTACCAGAACAGCATGCTGCGGCCCAAATCTGCTCACAGGACAGCATGAGGAAAAGGCTGCAGAACTCACACACCCGGGATTTCTGTCTGCCTCTGGCGGATGGGAGGCCGACCACCTGACTAGCTCTGCACGTCCCAGCGTTGCCAGGGACGTTGCTAGGGACGGGCAACCCCATTATCAATGGCTGGACCAGGACAGCCCCTCAGGGCCGGCCTGGCCGCTCCTACGCCACACTCTCTCCTGCAGCGGGCAGCTTCCAGCAGGACACACGCCAGTGCTCAGCCTCACCCGCTAGCACACCACGCACGGGACCCTGGGGCTCATGGGGCAAGGAGCTCCCTGCAGGACAGGCAGGAGCCCTGGGAATAATGACAAACCCAAGGCCAGCTCCATACGGCAGTCCTCGGGGGTGACGGTTCCCACGGTCCCCCGGGGTTCTGGGAGCCGGGTGCGCCTCCACCTCTAAATCCTCACCCCGGTCACTACTGCTGCTTTCTCCCGACTCTGCTGATCCTAACAGCATTTCTTCCCGGCTCACAAAGCTCGTCCCAAACGAAACGTCAGGTTCCCAGGCCCACAACCTCTTTCCCGCGCAGGCTGAGGTGTCTGGCTGCGTAAAGGCAGGATGCAGCCTGCGCCAGGGCCGGGGAGGGGCACGCAGTCCCGCTGCTCTGAGCACTTCTGCTCCGACCACAGGACTCGGGGACTGGGGGGCTCCTTCCTGCCCTCTCCCCGCAGCCGCTGGGGAGGCAGGGGGCTCTTCCTCCTCAGAACCGCGGGGAGGTAGGCAGCCACACCAGCCACCGAGAGGGGAGGCGGTGATGGCCAGTTTTCTGGAGTGGACCCTGGCTACTTCTCCCCCCAGCTTGAGCCCAATGCAAGCTTCCCGCCCCCAGTCCGCACTGCCCTGGACGGCAACCCATGGTCTGCAGAGGAAGTAGCACTAGAGGGGCAGGTGTGAGGGGAGCAGGCCAGGAGGCCCAATCGCATGGGAGACGTACAGAATTCTCAGTGTGTGTAAGGACGGAAACGTGGTCCAGTGGCCCAGAGGCTGAGCATTGACCTATGAATCAGGAGGTCACGGTTCGATTCCCGGTCAGGGCACATGCTTGGTTGCAGGCTCAATCCCCAGTGTGGGGCAGTGCAGGAGGCAGCCAATCATTGATTCTCTCTCATCACTGATGTTTCTATCTCTCTCTCCCTCTCCCTTCCTCTCTCTAAAATATACACACACACATACACACACACACACATACAGTAGGTCCTCGGGTTACGTCGGAGATCTGTTCCTAGGGCATGACATAACATCATTTTCACCGTAGGTCAGAATCCACCTACATAAGCACCTACGTCACGCACATGGAGCACATACACAGCAGTAATGAAATGAAACAGTAAAAAAAATTTAAAAGAAAGATAACAATTCCTGACCTTTACTTGTGGTAAATAAATAATAACATAAAGCACATATGTACATATGTCAAAATGACAAACTTTTTTTTTATAAATAAATGGGAGATAGCGACAACCACGAAATGACATACTTCAAGTCCGACGTATTCCTGAGGACTGTCTGTATATCTCTCTATATATATGTGTATATATATGTATCTAAAAGGCTAATATGCAAAGTGTTCCCTCGGGAGTTTGACCAGGAGACAGGGAGTTCAATCGCTCACTATGACAGGCACTGACCAACAGGGGGTGGCGCAGGACATGGTGGGCGACCAGTGGTGGCAGCGGGGCGCTGAGTGAGGGAAGGAGAAGGCGGGGAGGCGGGGAACCGCGTGGTGGCGGCACGTGGGCGGCAAGGGAAGGAGGAGGCGGGAGGCAGGGTAACTTGATCGGCCCTGATCGCTGGCCAGGCCTAGGGAACCTACCCATGCATGAATTTTGTGCACCGAGCCTCTAGTATATCTATCTACTTATATAAAAACCCTGAGTGTAACATCAGGACCCGAGGCGCGACCAACCGGAAGGAAGTCAGTCCTGCAGGGGTTGTCTTGGAAATGGCTGCACCCTCCCCCAAGCTGTTTCCTGGAGCTGTTTCTGGTAAGGGCGAGGTTTGAGGCAGGAACCTGCCCTCGGAGCATGGAGGCATATCTTTATAAAGTGTGCCGCGCCAGCACAGCCAAGGGTGAACCTGAGTGGGGGCGGCTGAAAGGCTTAGAAAAGACAGACAAGGGAATGAAAGCTGGGTCTCGGTGGGACGCTGCTTCTCTGAGAGACAGTGACCATGCCCACAGCCGTGTCTTTATTTTATAGCAGATGCCATGAGGCAAAGTAAGGGAGTGACCAAGATGTTTACAACATTCTCCTGGGTTTCAATCCTACTCAACTACATGCACCTGAACTCTATCAAGCCGACATCACTCAGGCACGTGGGGCCATGTGTTTGGACCATAGGTTCAAGCTTACAACTATAGCTGTTGGCTATAATTGTGCTGGGAGGGCCCTGCCCTCCAAGCTGGGACTTGCACGTGGCAATGAGAGGACTGTGCCCTCTCATCAGTCCAAGGCTTGAACCTGTCCAAAACACTGTA